TCAAGAACCCTACCTTACTTATATTATATTCATTGATATCAATTCGCTACATTTATTCGGTTTTAATCGAAAAGTAAATAGACATTGGAAAAATATAAAAGTAAGCTGTTGATAAAACAATCACGCCGACTTTGCTGCGTTGTGTAATGATATTATGTAGTTATGTAAATCACACATTTCGAAACTTATCTTTTTTATTGATTATCATGGTTTTTTCTTCGGATGCCTAACTAAATATACCATTTGGACAACATTTTAATAAACTTATTGACGCATACTTCTGCAAGTCTGAACATCGAAACTCCTTTAGTTAATCATAATCTGAGCGTGGGTGTGGGTGTGAGTATGATTGAGATTAAAATCTATAAGGCCCAACTCACTCGCCCTCACATCCACCCTTTTTGCTTGTTCATTTTTTTTTGTTTTCGTTCTTTTTTGTCTTTTGTTTTCATATCTTGCTGCTTGATCAGAAAAGGAAGACATACTCTTGTTAATGCTGTGGGAGATGCTCCATCCGAACACGAAGGTTGACACTCTGCGCATTGACGTGAGCAATTATTCTTTTGCAATCAAAGAATTAATAGTTAATCTTTCATTTTTGTCCCTGATGATGTGTTTCAGATGAGGGCACGAAAGGTCGAAACTCTCTTCTTTTTATTTCTGCTTGAAATAAATATTTAATAAAATGCTACTTACAGCAGTAACGGATTCATTTAACTTTATCCTTTATTATAAAGGATAGTAAAGATAAAGGGTCATCCCTACTGGCATATTTACTAATGAAAGATTTTTCAGAATGAAAATGTTGCATCATATTAGAATCTATAAGCATAAACATATAGAAGAATATTCTTCTATGCATTTATGCGAGCTTGCTTCAATTTAATGAAAATTTTTCATCCTTACCCATGTGAGAGACATAGTATCTATACAGAACGCAAACTATTTACTTTATTTTTTGACTACTGACAACTCAATCATTTGCAAAACTTTTCAGAAACGCTTTTTTTAGCCAATATAGACGATATGTGACTAGTTAGTCATCAAATTTTAGCTCCTTTAGAAATAAATTTTAGCGATACTGATGTGGGTGCGAGTGTGGATAAGAGTCCTTCGGGAACAATGTTTTTTGGTTCTGGTTCCATATTCCCATTCCCATGTTCGATTTCCCTAAATAAATTAAAAATACTATGATGATTGAAGAAACATTTGGATAAACATCCTACTGAGATTTGTCTTTTTACGAGCATAAAAAATTAGTCCTGCTCAATTCTGTTTATATTAAATAAATGAAATATCTTTAACAAATAATAGAGTTATCTCCACCAACAATGGAACAAATGAAAAACCGAAAAAATAATAGCACATCAACTACACCAATGAGAAAACGAATGGATTCAAAAAGAGAAGATTATGATATATGACGTATCACAAGTTGATCTTGACAATATCACACTCGAAGGTGATGAAGAAAAAGAAAATAATAGTTGTAATGATTGAATTACGATTTAGTTAAGAATAAATGAATCTGTCTATGGTTAGTTGATAGAAATATTCTTATTATATTAAAATAAGATAGAATAAATTTAGGGAACATCAATTTTTAACTTTGTTCCCTTTACTATGTTCTCATTTCCTAAGTCTAAACGAGAATTCTCATTCCCATTCCCGTGGGAAGGGGAGTGGGAAAATTAGGAAAAAAAGTCGTTCCCGTTGGACACTAGTGTGGATGTAGGTGTGGATGAGTGTGAGTTTGGAAGTAAGTGTGGGGTGTAGGTGTGGGTGTTGGTATGTGTTATTTTTAGCCACATCCACATTCCCACCCACACCGTCACACCCATAATACTCTTCGCTCCTGAATTCAAACACAGGATATGCTGTGTGAGATAAAAGTCATATCACATGGTGAATTTCATGTTTTGATAAAAACCTTTATATAGTACTTAATTAATTTCCACATACTTGTGTTCTTAGATAACGACCTTCACTAATTGATGAACAATAGTTAAGAGATGTCACCATACTTATATCCATCTTTAGTGGCACATAAGGTGGAAAGGCATATGGCCGGTTATCAAAGAATCCATAAATTTTTTGTCAACTAGACTTTAAACATGTACGAGTTTTCTTGAATCCCAGAATTAAAATGTATCTATCAAATAAGCTAGTTGTAGCTTTTTGTAAACAGATATGAGATAAATACATAGTATGAAGCCTTAAGACTCTTGGATTTTTCAGTAGTACATGATTATCTAAGAGTTATTGAAGTCGTATTTAAATACTCAGACTATAGAGATGTGTTGAAAAAGAACAAAATTCGTGAAATACTCGTCGAATTTTGATCTTTAGATCCTAAATCATGTGTTGCCCCTAATTTCGAGTTGGTTTACGGAATATCCTAGATGCATAAACGATATTCAGGTAGGTTGGTTATTTTCGAAATATTTCTGAACTAAGGATATGTCAATTCATCACGACAAAGAAATGTGGGCTTCATCCCGTTGTTTTTGGTCTGGTGAAGAAAATTGGAACTGCTAACAAAAGTGATACTATGATTAATCTCGTGTTATATTCCATGTCAGTCTGTGCAGAGTTTCTGAACATACTGTTTGTGAGAAATCCATCTAGTAGTTCAAAATTCAATGAATCAGTATAAATGAAGAGAAAACTGTTATGTTTTCAGCGGATGTAGGTGTGGATGTGGGTTTGTTCTTTCGTCATTCACATCCACACCCACATCCTCTTGCTACGGATCAGAATCATCGTTAAAAGATTCAGGTCACACAAACATATATGCTGGAGCCAGCAAAAAGAAAAAACCAAGAGGACTGAGCAATTTGCCCCGACTAGCTGTGAAAACCCGCAGTATACACACAGAACGAATTTTTGGTGACGAACTAAAAAGTTTACGAATGTTGTCGTAAAATGCAGCGAATTAGTTTTGATGCTATACAAGTAATATTTTGTCGAATTCACATATATTATAGAAGAAAACAGTACATGTAAGCTTTAAGGTCAACGTTTCTCGGCTCTCCCTACTCTTAGTCACAATTCATTGAATTTTTTTTTCATATCGTATAATTAATCAAGAGAGATAGTAAAACATTTATGATGATGACGATGAAAGTGGAATGTTTCGCTTATTCCAAAACTGGATGTGGATATGGATCCTCTTGTCTGACACATTCACAGTGAATCCTTTCTTGTAAAGCTATTATCGCCGGAGTTCAGAAGAGATTTAATACGACATTTTTTTGTTTTCATTTAAAAAGAAAATTTTCTTGGAATGTAAACATAAAGAAAAACCCAAGAAAGCACAGAAAACAAACATAAGTCATATAAGATAGAAAAACGAACATGTTTTTAAACTTTCGAATTCATTTCAAGACCTTCAAGTTTTTTTTTTTATTTTTAAATAAAAAATAGCTCAATATTCCGAATTTCTATTCTCTCTATTATGCATATGCCATTTGACGAATGTTGAATTCTTGCTTATCATAGTTTTCCCCATAAAAACATCTGCCACAGAATATCATTCTAGTTGATAACTTATTCTTCACGAACAACACGATCTGTACTAGTTATCAACGAAAAATTCTAATAGTAATCATTGAAAATAAGAAATATCGAAATACATATCATAGCAGCTTGATTAACAATTAAGAACCTGAACCACGAAGGGTAAAGTTTTAAGAGAAAAATGAAATTGATATTGTCGTTATAAATTAAATATTGCTATCATCACGATGAATGCATGAATAAGCACATCTATAGGCAAATAACGAGTCAATCGGTTCTAGAATAAAAAAAAAATTTTTGTTTTTATTACTTCATTACACTGCTTTATCATTTGCTAGTGTCCTTCTAGCTATTTACTTTCGCTCTACTTTGACTTAAGAATACAAAAATCATTCTTTTTTACTGCATTTTTTTTCAGTTACTGTCACTCAATATATAAAAGTCGCAATATTGGAGAAATATCATAACAATATTTTTTCTTTTTTGATTAATCAATCTATCTACTCGTATTTCTTCTACTACTGTCAGCGACAACATGAACAACATCAAAGTGCCAATATGTTTTGCTTTTATCTTGGTATCTATGACAGTATACTGCAATGCACGAGCTGCAGAAGATTTCTTTCGATCTGAGCAAAAACGTTAAATTCATTCACATTCGATCAAGTAGTATATATAGATCAGTTAAGTCTAAAATAAATCTATGATCTTAAGCGAAATAATTGAATAAAACCCTTAAGTTGCTCATGTCTCTCATGATTTTCCATAAAAGGGTGTGGGTGTGGGTGTGGGTGTGGGTG